GCGGGAGTGTCTAGAAACGCGCGCACTGACTGAGCGGAATGGACATAGGGAAAGCACCGTGTGTGTATCCGTGTGTGCACGGAAATGGACGTCCACGCTGCTCCAGATGCAGACAGCATAATCGGAGCGTGGGTACACACGCAGGCACGCATACACACACATTCCGCATACGCTACACACACACGCACACGCACGCACTCCCATTCCGCATACCCCGCACACGTGACTCCCGTTCCGCGCAGGCTGCCCGGCTGTCACAGTCTGCGCGGATAAATCTCGGCAGTCTCGATAGCTGCAGGGATCCAGGCGCGGCTCCACGCCGGACAGGCGGAATGCCTCCTCTCTTCAAACCTGTTGAATTGTAAGAGGCTACAACGCAGTTTATTCCCATTCTTTCCCCTGCTAGCCAAGCAGTTAAACAGCTTTCAATGCCTCTCGCTGGTTAAACACGCTTTGAAATCTGTTGCAGCTTCAGAGCCGTTTTTAACAAGCAGCTTATTTTCACCATACAACGAATATTGACAGATATAAAAGATTTCCCCCCTAATAAAAGGGCTTTTCCACAGGCACGATCTGATCTCTAGCTAGCAATGTATGTACGCACACACGGAATTGTTCTGGGAGCTGAATCCTGCCCGGTATAAGACAGGGGTTTTACAAATGTATTTAACGTTGAGTTTGTAGAGGAGCGGGAAATACATGTCCACAAGAAAAGAAGTCTTTATGCTCCTGCATTTTCCTACTGGATCCTTTCCATTTAATTGTTGATTTCGGGGCTGGAAACCTCACTAAGAAACAAACACAATTACATTTAAAAAGGGTGGGGGGAGGAAAATCAGGACACACACACACACACACACACACACACACACACACACACGGCGGAGGGCTTGCGTTGCAACCTGCCTGTCTAAAAACAAACGGACGTTTTGCAAACGAAAGAATAATCGAAAAAGTCCTGGAAACAATGTCATCCTGTGCCTGTAGCTTGCGCAGAAGCCGGATCTCGCCCTGAGACACAGTCCCCCGTTAGAGGCTATGGGGGTTTTGCTCGAGACAGGATTATTTGTATTTCCCATTGTACAAATGACACGCACGAAAAAGAGCAGGGTAGTGAACGCACGGCCCCCGGCTTCTTGAGAAACCCCGGAGCCTCCGTGCATCTTCCCAGCGGACTTTGGACTCATTTGATTTTGTTACAAGGAGTGCTATGCTTCAAACCAGCAGATCTGGAGCTGCGAGCGGAGCCTGGGAAGTGGCAAATCCCCGCTGGGCGGTGGCCAGGCAGCGAGGGGGTGTCGCCCCCCAGCCCCCGGCCCGGAGACTCCTGCTGCCCAGGGGCTGAACCCCGGGGCTCCGAGCCGCAGGGAGGCAAAGGGTTAACCGGCCCTGAATGCACACCGAGTCCAAAGCCACTGGGAAAGAATATCCCAAAAATAACCAGTTTTTTTTTTCCAGCCGCTGGACCTTATTGAATGTCATTGAAGAAAGTTTTGAATGCCAGATAAAGAGAGGCGAATTAAAGTGTGTGACAGCAGAGGATAAGCAAACACAAAGAGAACTCTGTCACACTTTGGGCGAAATCCGCGGGCTTTTTACCAAGCCTCTTCGCTATGATTGAATTAAGTAATAGGAAAACATTTTCTTTCAGTTTAGAGCCATTAGACAAAAACTTCAAAGCGAATAACACTTTTTAATGTGCAGCCCGACAATGGCGCCGCGTTTGTGCTCCACTGTTTAAATGGTTTGTTGTGCAACTGCGGGCTGCAGCACCCCGGCTCCAGCCCCGCGCCGCCCGGGGCCGGGGCCGGGGCCGGGGCCGGGGGTAGGGGCGCTGTGAACCCGCGCCCTGGGGCACCGAGCCCGCGGGTCGAGTTCCTGCCCCCCCCCCGCCCCCCGTTGGGCACTGCTAGGAGGAGCTGACACAGACTGGGGGGGACGTACCACCATTAACGGGGGGGGGCAGGGGTATCACTATTAACTGGGGGGCCAAGGAGGGAATGCCACCTGAGGAGGGCAGGGGGCGTAACACCACGAACGGGGGGATCGGGGGTATTGCTATTAACTGGTGGGGACAAAGGGGGTGTACCACTATTATGGGGGGGTGCAATAGGGACATGTCACTAGTAACTGGAGGGGGGAATATCATTAGGTGGGGGGGAGGTATGGAATAGATGCCATCAGTGTCTGGAGCATAGCATACCATTACTGTTTGGGGGAGGATTTCTTGCATAAGGGTCATAGGGCATAGCATTAAGGGGGTGAAGGGGAATGCAGTCTGCAACTGTGGGCATGGCTGGGGGGGCATGATCACTGTCTTGGGAGCAAGGAGACCATACCATTGTCTGAGGGAACCAGGGGAGGACAGATCATACCATCTCAAGGCGGGAACTGGGTTCTGACTGTCTGGGAGGGGGATGCACCATCACTAACTAGGGGGCCAAGGTGGCAGGCAGCTCTCTCTGGGAGCCCTCCATCACTCCCTGGAGGGGGCGGTCTATTTATCTGTTGGGGAGCTCATAATCACTCTGGGAAGGGGGGACCTACCCTCACTAAGTGGGAAGAGGAACATATCACAAGACAGAAGAAAGGGTTCAATGTCTTCCTGTGAGGAGGTCATACCGGCACTAGGCAATGGGAAGAGAAGAGAGTATTGGTGTTTTGGGGGGCACGGGTGCTATCACTACCTGTGGAGAGCTGTCATTGCTAACAGGTTGAAAGGAAGGGGACTGTGACATTTCTGGATGAACAAACCCCCATTCTATTCTCTCAAGCCCTCCTCCCCACTTCATGTTCTATACTATTTAAATACATGCACCAAAATATAAATGCAAGCCACTACTGAATCATGGACTGTAGGCTATTGTGCAAACAACTGGCCAAAGGAAGTGCATGACTCTATTGATCCAATGTGTGCAGCATTAGGCCTGGTCAAACTGTGCTGCTAGATCCATTCGAGTCAACAGAACTACTCCAGCAGCAAGGTCCTACTCAATGCAGGGACAGAACAGGGCTTGATGGGGAGCTTGTTAGATTCCTAGATCCCTCCCAATGCACCTAAATAGACATGCCCTGGTCTTTGGAAGGATTGAGCATTAGTAGCACCCATGACATAAATAAAAACTTTAGTACTGTGAAAAAGAAGGCCATGCCTATACAGATGCCTACATAATATGGATTTAGATATCTGACATTAGACACCATGACTTGAAAATGTTAATCTAAGGACATGGCTGATGGCAATGTGGTGTTTAAATACCTTTAATGACTGTGTGTCCTATTGTCTTCCATCCTCTGTTTGATTTAAACAGTGTTATTTTCAAATCATCAAATGTCTGTGTATCTAAATGGAAGAGGTTTGATCCATGAATTCACAATGCAAGTTTGGGGAATTTTTTAAAAGAGAAAAAGAAGAAGAAGTATGCTTTCAGACATGTGCTGCTTACCCTGGCTGGCTGGCATATTTTCTCACAGGGCCTCAGATTTTTTCTCACAGGGCCTCATGTGATGCACAAGATGCATAACACTCACTGAAGCAGCCATTTAAGACATGTGGCCTCAGGCCTTATGTACTGTATGCTCTTTCAACTCTTAATCCATGGACTTTCCTATGGCATTCATCTTTACAGAAGCAGAGCACTTAAAAAAATTAATACATTTATTTTCACTTCACCTTGTGAGTTGAATAGGTGCTATTCCCATTCAACAGATGGAAAACTGACACACAGAGATTAAGGTCAAAGGCATTCACTAATTTTAGGTGCTCATTTGAGAGGATCCTTTTCCTTGACTCTTAAC